GCGTACATCAGTAATGTACTCTAATCGTTTTATGTTTGTTTTTGTATCCAACTAAGTAGAGTTGTATAAAAGCTATATAGAAAGTAATCATCTTAATGTAACCGAACACCATGTCGTTATAGCTTATAAAAATTGTTACAAGAGTAATATCAACATTTTATTAATAACGAAGTATACTTCTACAAAACCCAAGTTTTTTGAGAACTAAGTCTAGGTTAGATCCAGAGCAATCAAATCAAAAACAATCTGTAGGTACATTATTTTAATAATTCATTATTAGTTCAATCGGATTGGCCAGTGAAGGCAATCATTCAAAAAATAGCCTCAAATTTAATAATTTATTTGCATTTTTTATTGATTTGCGTTCCCTATAAATTTCCTTTTTATTCATCATCATCATTACAGCCCTTCACAAGTCCAAAGCTGAACATAGGTCTCTCGAAAGAATACCACAAAACACAATCCTGAGCTATTCTTCTTTACCCTGCTACTACACCCCAGTGAAGACCAGGTCATTAATGACCTGGTCTTCACTGGGGTGTAGTAGCGGACCGGTTTTCACTTCGCGTATCGGTACGAGGATTCTACCTTTCTTCCCTATCGTTTCTTCGAGGGATATTGTCGGCTCAATGCCAATTAAGCTTATTTCCGTAGGGCAATGTCACTTACTCTGATGATATTGCGGATATCCTCATTTCTAAGTCTATTACGCAGGGAACTCCGAACTCGTTGAGTGATCTTGATTTCCCTCATACAGCCAACATTGTAAGAAGACATCGCAGATCCATATGTCATCATAACACCTCAAGTAACACACGAGTGGCTAACAAAGCGCTACAGTAGCCGCTTAATAGGTATATATGTACCTAATGACTTTACCTACATTATTATTTAATACCGCTCTCCCTAACCTCTGTAACCAAAACGTAGTCTGTGAAACATTCATACACCCACGCTATGGCCTGGTAAACAGTCCCAGCTTCATGGTATCCGTGTAATGAACTCGGGAAGTCTGTTCCACATGTGGGGATAGTGGCTGCATATATGATGGCACGGATTTTGTGCTAACGAAACAATGGAAGCAGCTGTGGTCTTTCGAGGAAACCAGAAAGCGACTGGCGCTGTTCAGACTGCAAAAGTCTGTGAAAACATTCCCTTAGTTTTGCAGATAAGCGACTAATGGAGTGCCATTAGTTTGTAGGTAGTTTTTTTTATAGCATATGATGACAAACGAGCACACAGTCCACCTGATGGTAAGTGGATTCTGTAGCCTATAGACATCTACACTACATTTATCATCAATTAAGAAATACAATGTAGATGCGTTGTCACCCCTGAGGACTAAGATGTAATGGAGGCAATGAATCTTTTGCAGTAAAATGGGTCATCGGTTAATGCGCTTAATGTAGCTGTGTTCTGTATGGGGAGTGTAGAGACACTCCCCATACGAAACAGCCGCATTAACCTGCTATTTTACGCTAGTATTCTGTGAGAGCGTGGTCCTCTACCCCGGTCGAGCCGACCCATTCGTGCTACAACCATAATATAGCTACAGCGTGGCTCTACCACGTAAAAAAACATAACCCGTCATTCCCTTGTCAGGCATTTATGCGGAGGCGGGTATGCGTTTCCCCATGGACAACAAAAGCATCTAACGTAGATTAGCTAAGTGTAAACCTCTAACTTCACACTCATTAGCTACCTAACGAAGTTAACTAAATGTACCTAAACATAATGTCCTCGTCCAGACCGAATTTAGGTCACAGCGGTCAGCCTCAACGGAGACTAGCCATCGGCGCAGGACAGGATTATATTTATATATAGTGCCCAAGTGAATACGCAAGCACAGGTGCACTTTCTATTCCCTCACTCTCATAGTCGGGTGGGACGGTAAACCGACACGACCGGTGAGAGATCAGTGTGCAGTACCAACGGCTTAACGTGCTTTCCGAGGCACGGGGGTGAGACATCCCCAACTTCCTGACTCCGGGCAGTTACTGAGAATTTCTTGACGGAAAAATCTAATAACTGATTTTTTCATGGTCCGACCCAGGATTCGAACCCGAGACCTCATGATCTGCAGTCGCGTTTACAACCACTAGACCAACGAGGCTGTCAAAATGTAAACATACAAACCTAAATAAAGAAGCTAAGTATAAAATCTAAGTGACGACTAAAGGAATTGCCAAAAAAATCTTAAGGCCTCCGATAAGGGGCAATATTATAACCATCTCGTTTATGCCAGAAGTAAAATATTCAGACCTCTCTCAGTCTGGTTTTACGATCGCTTATTCGCCAGCCAAGCGTGACTATGAAGATAAATAATCCCCGCAACGGAAGATGCAGGTATTCAGCATTGGATTTTAACGTGCTAGTGCTAGAAAGAAGAAAAAGAAAAACAAGCACTACTACTTACTACTTACATAAGGTAAGCTACACCTTATATTGATTAGTTGATTAAAAATTATGTGAAATGCTTTAGACAGTACATACTCGACATTTCAATAATTTAATTAAGCATCTGCATTCTGCACGCACGCCATCCCATTGGCATCATATTCTGTGCTTTGCGATAGCAAATTAAGAGAATCCATCTTTATACATAATATTTTGTATAATAATAAAAAAGTAAAACTAAAAATTTTATTCATATAAGCATTCTCCCAGAGGCTTAATGTAAAGAACGGTAGCTGCATTTCCTCGCTGAATGGCTAGATCATTTCATTTCCAACGTTTTTGTACCTAATAGAAAGGTAACCAAATTCATTTTATTATTTAAGTTAAATAGTGAACTTAAAGAAAGATTATTGTATAATAGTTAAAATTCTAGCTACGATTACGACCCCCAAAATTTATTGACGCAATTAAATTCTACAAAGTCAAATTACTTAAATGGTCAATTACAGTATAATTATATTTTTAGTGGTCTACCGCGCGCGAGGGTGCCGAATGGGAAAGTTGTATGCTGGACTGTACTATGATGTTATCTGCCTTGAATTATATTGTATAAAATTAAAATAGTAGTGTACAGCAAAATCTTGATACACTAAGGCTAATTAAGCCTATTTATAAATTATCCAAAGTTACTTTATTAAATATTTGCAAAGAGAAGCTGAAGCGCCTTTGTAGATTTATTTGTATCAAAACATTAAATTAAATAGCAGCTAAAGGAATGGTTGTCCATTAATTCAAGCGAATGAATATTTTCTTTTTATTAAAAGCTTAATTAAATAGAATAGAAGATGTTGTACTACACTCAAAGTTGTACGACAAATTGTCCGACTAGGTAAAACCAAATTCGTCCGAGAGGTCAATCGAAGAATCTAACTCGGCTTCGAGAGATCGCAAGACAGCCCCTCGTCACGATTACCTTAAATCTTGAAAACAAGAGATTCCCTCGTAGCACACATGCAATATAAGCAGACACTGTATCGCTCTTGCTGTATAACAGCCGTTTAAGGAAGTTTGTATATTCTTAACCTGATAACAGATTCTTATATTACGAGTATCTCTTTAAAAGCAGAATGATAAAGTAGCCGTTTAGTAGTTACGATAATGGCTTTGGAGATAAAAAAGATGTTTGTAGAGCATTTGTACAGGCGTTGGATATAAAGCAGAGTAATAAAAATATACTTATGAACACTGTAAGACCAAAAAGATGAATAACGAAGACATTGAGACATAAATATTGCATATAGCACTCAAGATAAAAGTAAATAGAATTATGTAGTCTATAACTTCACAATATATCTATGAGAATCTTACAAACCACTTTTACTCTATTGGCGAATTATAGTTCGACAGAAGCACCAAAAGCGGTATATTTGTGAAATATAACGTGTAAATATAGCCACTGTCTGCATTAGGCATGCTAATGGTATTTTATACGGCTATAAGAGTTTTTAATCTATCCTGTATTGCCATTAACACGGTAACGTCTGTACAAGACCCTTAATAATTTCAAAAATTATTAATTATTTTGTCTTGCATGTGTAAATAAAATTAATTCATATTACAAACGGACCCTTAAAATGTTTTAATAGTATAAAGGTTCATGAAGTGCTTTTGAACTTCAAAATTAGTAAAAATACTAGATAGTTCATTATTCCTCATCATTATAGCCCTTCACAAGTCCACTGCTGAACATAGGCCTCCCCCAAGGTATGCCACAAAGCACGGTCCTGAGTCACCTGCATCCATTGTCTTCCCGCATATCTTACCAGGTCGTCACTCCATCTAGTGGGGGGACGCCCTACACTTCGTCCGCCGGTACGAGGCCGCCACTCGAGAACCTTTTTTCCTCATAGGTTGTCGGTTCTTCGAGCTATATGGCCGGCCCATTGCCACTTCAGCTTACTAATCCGTTGGGGTATGTCGGTCACTCTGGTTCTATTGCGGATATCCTCATTTATAAGTTTTTCACGCAGAGAAACTCCGAGCATAGCCCCCTCAATAGCTCGCTGTACGACCTCGAGCTTCCTCATCCGGCCAGCAGTGAAGGATCACGTCTCAGTTCCATAGGTCATCACTGGCAACACGCACCGGTTGTACAGTCTCGTTTTGAATTTTTGATATATACCTGACGAGAAGATGTGCTGTAATTTCCCGAACGCTGCCCAGCCTAGTTGAATCCGTCGATTGACCTCTCGGTCAAGTGGATCGATTTTTAAATGTTTTTTTTTTATAAAATAAATAATATTTGCGTATGAAACTAAAGAGCCGCAGCTACACATTTAAAGAGCCGCACGTGGCTCGCGAGCCGCAAGTTGCCGACCCCTGGGTTAGGGTGATAATACGTATTGGTGGAATGTTGAAATATTTGCTGAAACATTAAGTATATTTTTTTCAAAATTTCAACATGATTTACATTACCTCAATTTTGTGTTACCAGTAAAGAAAACACATGAAATAAATGTAATAAATGTATTTTTAAAATAAATAGAATTTTAATTAACAGGATTAGTGTTTACTATATTTTTAAAAGGTGCATAATCGGTTACTTAATTTTCTTCTGGCCAGTATGCGTCTATTATCTTCTTTATACGTTCGTCCAGGTCTTTGCTAGTTGGGGGTTGCTTGGCTAGAATGAAGACGAACTTTTCATGGCAGTCCATCATTGCTAGGTATTGGTTTTCCACAAGTTTCAAACGCATCTGGTAGCGGTGAAACTCTGCGAGGTCTAGTTTTGCTGCATAATAGAATAGAATAGAATCATTTTTATTCAATATAGATTACAATACATAGTATTTATTGAAAGTATTTTTTTTTACTTTTACCACTGGTTCGCAATAAATCTCTGTCCTAGGAAGAACCATCAAGAAACCCAGCGAGACTTTTGTTTAAAAAAGCACAAATTACAATATAATATTTCATACATTTGGTATGAAATTTAGAAACAGAATGGTAGCGTTCACCTCATTCCCAGGCGTTATTATCAGTCATGTACTCTTTAGTAGTATAATAACCCTTACTGGATAATTTTTGCTTAATAAATAATTTAAACCTTTTGATAGAAAAGGTCTGCATATTTTCTGGGACTTAGTTGGAAAAGCGTATACATTGCCCCATTAAGGAACTACTGACTCTTTGGAGTTGAGTAACTGGTATAACTAACTTGTGGTTGTTCCTAGTATTTACAGAATGTGCATCACTATTTTTAATAAAACTATTTTTGTTTTTGTGTAGGTACATACATAAAATTCTCGTAAATATATTGAGAGGCCAAAGTTAATATATTTATTTCTTTAAAATTTTCTGTAAGAGATTCCTTCGGAATTAGGTTATAAATTGCTCTTATGGCTCTCTTTTGCAAAACAAAGATAGTTTCAATGTCAGTCGCATTACGCCATAGCAAGATTCCATATGACATTATGCTATGAAAATAACTAAAATAAACTAATGTAGCTGTTTGAACACATGTAAGGCATCTATTCTTTTTACAGCATATGCTGCAGAACTAAGTTTGCTAGCTAGCTTAGATATATGAGGGCCCCATTGAAGCTTCGCGTCAACTGTAATTCCGAGAAAAACAATTGATTCAACAAGGTCCAGCTCCTCACTATTTACTCGTAAAATCACATTGGTATTCACCTGTTTAACATTAGTTGTAGTGAATTTAATACATTTCGTTATATTACCGTTCAAAAGCAAATTGTTAACGTTAAACCAGTGTACTACTTTTGATATAACATTATTCACGTCGTCATATTTCAATAATTGCCTTTTTAGTCGGAAAATTAACGAAGTATCATCAGTAAATAATACTATATCATGGTTATTCGGTAGATATATTCGGTTATATTAGGTAGAAAAAGTTTAATATTGTAGTTAATGTATTTTAAATATTAAAAAATACTTTTACCGCCAGTGAGGGTGACTAGTTTTTTTCTGGATCAAATGCTAAGTATTTTTATTAGACATTTTAGTTTGCACATTTTTTTGAGGATTTCTCAATTGAAACTGATTTTTTTAAACCTGAGACTAATTACAAACTTAATTTACTTTATTTGTTGTCTTTTACGACAAATAACACACTTGGCACATTATTTTTTGTTATAAGTCTCACATAAACATGGTCCCATAAGTCCCAGCCTTACATAGGTCTATCTAGATAAACCATTGTTAAACATCTCTAAATAGTATAAAACAGTCGCTTCTCGTCATCTGTACGCTTAGATCTTTTAAAATACGCTATGGAGTTTGATTAACTTTCCATCAATAGACAGAATTATTTACGAGAAAAGTTTATGTGTATAATACATGCATCTATTATATTACATATTTTTTTCTGTCCTTGTGTATGTGACTGAACTCCTAAATGGCTGGACCGAATTTGACGAGATTTTGTGAGTGTGTTTAAGTTGATTAGAGAATAGTTTAGATTCACAATTGGCTTTGTTGTCGAGATCCAGAAATCAAACGTGCGAAGCCGGAGCGGATCGCTAGTATAGAATAACATAAGAATAACATGATTATTTATTTGCAAACGCGAACTATTTAAACAAGACGTTTTGTGAAATACTATAGTTTAGAAAATTGGCAGAAAATTCATATTGGGTATAAATAAGTTTCGTTCGTTCCATTTAGAGACATCAAGTCCACTTTACAGGCATTATTAAGATAATAAAATGTATGAAATTGTCTTATTGGATTTAAAAATTACCGTTTCACAATTTAATGGACAGATACTAGCGTGTGTGCGTGGTGAAACCAGGGCGCACTATCTTGTTGATTTATTCGGTAAATAATTTAAAAGTACATAATGTGGGTAAACAGTGTCGTACAAGAGTGCTGGCGTATCTATCTCAAGAAGAAACTTTATATGTATAAGATTAGGTGTCAATCAATGGTCACCGTTTTTGAAATAACCTCTCATTGATTTTTCTCTTACGCTTTTATGCACATTTGGGTTATCAAATTTGCAGCAATTGAGAAATCTCATGTTACTAACGATCTATCGTTGTTGCGTCTGTAATTTTTAAAAACATTTTTTTTATAGGATAAGGGTGACAAACGAGCACACATTCCACCTGATGGTAAGTGGTTGCTGCGGCCCATAGACATCTACATCTATCCTCTATTACAAATCAAAATGTAGATGCGTTGTCACCCGTGAGGACTAAGATGGAATGCCTCATTTCCAGTAAAAAGGGCCTCCGGCCACCTGCACTCACCAAGCGAAACGCAGAGGCAAAGCTCTACTTCACGCTGGTTTTCTGTGATGTCGTGGTATCACCCCGGTTCGAGCCGGCCCATCCGTGCGACAGCAAAAGTTGCCGCATGGCTCTACCACTGTTAGAAGGTTTTGCAAGGTGCATTTTACCAATATGTAATTTAGTTTGAGATAGCTGTTCTTTATTTGTGTTATCAGTTATAAAATTTGTGTTTTAAAATTTTGAGTAGTTTCGTTAATGCTTGCTAATGGGCTTGCTTTTCACAATAAAAGAAAAAATTACATAATTTTTTATTGTATTGTCGTCAACAATCAAAAACGATATTCAAACGTTAGTGAGTTAAGTAAACGCAACTAAACTTGATGCAGTTGAAACTCGTAAAAAGATAATACTCGGAACAGCTTGCGAAATTATCTTTCCCAGTATTTTTAAATTTCCTTGTATTTATATAAGCAGGGCCCTGCCTTTTGCTTTGTCGACGTTTGCCTTAAATTTTATAGCCCGTTAATAACTTAAGACCTAGAGTAACCATAACTGATGAAAAGGTATGTCAGAGGTGAGACAGAATTGTGCCTACCCCTCTGGGTGACAAGCGTGAAATTTATGTACGTATGTATTCTTTATCTGGTTTTTAGCAGACTATATATTTATATAGTCTGCATCAGCGTCACCAACTAAAATATCTAAATATAGATGCTGTCAGTGAAATCGTACATATACACGTACGTTTTTAAAATATCGATGGTCTAGAAGACAAACGTGCTAAATGCAAAATTTTGTGGTTTACACTTTTTAATGCCAAACATTCCAAATATATAGGCAACATCTTCTGTACTTATCGAAAATCCATAATTCCATCTCTTTCGGTCCAAACCGAACCTGTAATTTGTAATAAAAAACGCGAGGCACGAGACAAAATAATCTAAGTTGCTTATCTACCCATGATAGAAATTACAAAATGTACTAAAATTGGTAACTAATTTACATGATAATTTAGGTGGAATGTTATAAAAATAAATTATATATCAATTTAATAAATTTTATTCTACATACATACATACATATAATCACGCCTCTTTCCCGTAGGGGTAGGCAGAGACCAGTTCTTTCCACTTGCTACGATCCTTACATACTTGTTTTGCTTCGTCCACTTTCATTATTACCTTCATACATGCTCTACGGTTTAGGGTACTCTTGACCTGGCCTTTTTTCAAGACGTCCCTGATTTGGTCTAGAAATGTCCGCCGAGGTCTACCCCTTCCAACATTTTCATTCACACTCGCCTTATACACTTTTTTCGTCAATCGTTCTTCATTCATTCTCTCGACATGGCCAAACCATCTCAGCATACCTTTCTCAATTTTTGTCACTACATCTTCTTTCAGACTTTATTCTAATTTGTAATAATTACATAATAATTGAAAATCATATGTTATACACAAATGCACTAAGTGAACAACTGAATAACAAATCATCAAAAGTATTAAGTGAATGTAATTTTTCATCCCAGTACTTTTTATAGTTGAGAACAATTCTTTAAAATTAATTGTATAACAGATAAATACCCTAACTAATACCACAAGAATAATATACGTTACACTGCTCGGCTTTACATACTAACGGGTAAAACTTTATATAAACTGCTCTCCTGAAAAATTACAATCTCTGTAATTAATACATTTGTTTTCTAGACCATTGATATGAATGTTGTTTATAACGATAGGCTATTTCGTACTGGGAAAATTTGACTATAGAGAGGCGAAGGGATATAAAAATATTTTAATACTTGTTATAAAACACTACTGTTTGGTTATTGTTTTATAAAAAAAAAGAACTAAAAATATTAAATTAAGTATTTATGTATATTTATTATTATTTATTTTATAGTATTATTTTTTTATTTATTTATATTTTATACTTTTATATAAAGAGACTTCAAAAACTCAAAACAATGAATAATTTCCATATAATGGCTTCTGAAGTCGGCGTTAAAACAAAATGTAGTATCAAAAAGAAAAAGCCACGACTTAATAGCTATTATGTGTGCTATATTCTTTTCAGTTTTCTAAGTCGATTTTTGCTTTTTATAAAAGTTTTTTTTTTACCTTTTTGAATGGTTTAAAAATACAGCGGTAGTAGCTAAGCGTGCACAGGCAGTGAACCAATAAAATTATTACTTGTATTTTTAATTGCTGATTTACCACGTGCGGTGAAGGAAAGTATCGTGAGGAAACAGCACTTCTGAGAATAAGAAAAAAATGTTTCGAAAACATGTGAAGTTTGCCAACACGTATTAGGGCAGCGTGGCGGACATTTCCTTGCCCTAAAACCCTCTCAGAAAATGAAAGGAGGCCTATGCCCAGCGCTGGGACGTATGTAGGTTGTAACTTTAAGGAATACACAAAGGTAAGTTAAAAGTTCAAAGTAAACAACTAGAAAGTTGTCTTATTAGTTACATAAAATAATCCATAAAATCATCCCCCATTTTCCAAACAAGTTTTCTTCTCTCTGAAAAAAAAGGGCCACCCCTAAAGAACAACTCATTATCATCATCCTCATTACAACACTTCACAAGTTCACTGCCGAACATAGGTCTCCTCTGAGGAATGCTACAAAGCACGATCCACCTGCATCTATCGAATATGATATCTTGTATTTCTTACCAGGTCGTCTATCCACTTAGTGGGTGACAGCTCTACACTTCGCTTACCGGTACGAGGCTGCAACTCAAGAACCTTTCTTTCCCCTCGGTTGTCGGTCGGTGTTGTCAAGAACAAATAAATATTTAATAAAAAAGCAAATATACAAAAAAAATAAGTACTCATCAAATATACCTTCTCGTTTGTTCGACTCGGTTAAAAATGGATGTGATATTTGAACAGAAAATAGCAAGAAAGTTAATTAATATCTCATAATATTACCCGTGGGTGGAGGCATTTGTAGTGTTCTGTAAGAACCCTCGCCTTCAAGTTTTTCTAGATAGTAGTCCCGGGTGCGGTTGGATTTCATGATAGAACACGGAATCTGCATCTTCATCAGGAGATTATCCCACTTGAGGTTCTCTATATATTTTCCAATGCGTTCTTCTAGATTTTTTCTTTCCTATTTTTTGGCATCATAAAATGGATTTAATTGAATATATTTGACATTTGTAAAATGACTAGATGCATTATTCCTTAAAATAATTGTATTGTTAGGTATAAATATATTTAAGAATGTTGTTCCTTGTCAGATGTGCGGACGGTTTTCTTACAAAGTTTGTAAAATACACTTAATTAAATTTATAAAAGAAAAGCTTGGTAAGATAACATTAAAATTACCTCTGCAGCGATATTTGTAAATTCAACGCAATACGACTCGCCGGAGCTATTTAGTTTTTCGTTTCTCACGTGAAGTAAGTGCCAGATGCCTATAGCCTCACTGTCTTTGAAGGTTACGTTTTTCGAAAATTCTTGACAGTTATGTTGCTTGTTGCTGGATTTGGGAGCAGCTTTCGCAAGCTGTAGGCAAATGATAGCTATAAAATAAAAAAATAAGTTATGATAAAAAAGACATTCAATAAGTGTACGTATATGTGTGTACGTAGCTTACCACCAATTATTAGATATAATAATTTTTTGTTACGTGGTAGCCATGCTTCTGCTATATTATTATGATTGTAGCACGAATGGGTTTGTTCGACCGGGGTAGGACCACGTCGTCTCGACGACCACGGACGTCTCACAGAATACCAGCGTAAAATAGCAGCTTAATGCTGTTGTGTTTCGTATAGTGAGTGTAGAGAACCGGATACCCTTTTTACTGGAAAAGAGGCATTCCATCTTAGTCCTCACGGGTGACAACGCATTAAAATAAGACTAAAACAGAATAATATTATTGAATAATGAGCCGTGTTAGCTCAAGAGATAAGCTTTTGCCATAATTACAAATCCCGTGAGAATTGTATGTAATTTTAATTGCTAATTAAAAGTGGTTAAAAAACGTACTGAGGAAACTTGCATAACTGAGATATTAAAATATCTATTTTGAGGATGTGTTAAACGGATTATTTCCAGCCCCATGAGGACCAGGAGGGTTATGCTCTTCAGTGGGGCTCAGTGTTCAATGGTATTACTTATGCGGTTCTTACTTGATGGGAATGAGGGCTGTACAGTTTATTATGTTTGATTAGATAATATGTATTTCTATCTTATTTCCATTTAGATTATACAGGGTTATTTTGCAATAACTAGCCAAATTTGCAGAGAAGGAAAATTGTGAAGAAAAATTAATTAAAAAAATCTCAAACATTCTGTCCCTTTTATCTTTTAAATTTAAAATGCGTGGTAATGTATTATTTTAACTGATTTTACTGCGCACGCACACATTCCTAAGGATCAATAGGTAGGCCAAATGATTGTTGCCCATAAATCACAAACAATTTGAGATAATTTCAAATAAAAGTGGAAGCCTTATTTACTCGTATTTTCAAAAGCTGCAATAACGGTATAAAAAATATATATTTGAACTTAAGTTTAAAATTTGGCTACTCTTAGAAAAAATAACCCTGTAAACTGCAATCTACAAATAAGTGTATAAGTGTTTTCATATCAATGGACGTTTGCCATGGTACTTTTGACTCCAAAAGAAGAGGTACAGTTTCAAGGATGTCTCATCGGTGATTTTTTTTATTATTTTTGATACTATTTTCATCAAAGACCAGGTTGGTGTCGGCGGTGGCACAAATTGCGCCCCAATCCATAATGGCATTATGGATTTGTTCTAACTTTAATAGTTTTTTCCCCGGATAATTCGATGTCTTTTTTTACTTTGTAAGCAATTGACTTTTCTGAGTTCATACGGTATCAATTAGAGATTATATTTTACTATACGTTACATGGTAGAGTGGCTAATTCCCAATTTTCACCACATAGGTATTCCTCATCTTGGTCTTTGGACTGCGGACTAATCTTTGTTTGATAATAAGTACGTAGATTCTTAGAAGTTCTAACAGTAATCTTCCAGGACGGTATTCAGTGTTGCCGACTCATTATATATTATATGCAATGAACATTAATAATTATAGCTCCATGTTATATTTACATAACGAAATAAATACATTTTTAATATTTTTTACAACAAATAATGTTGAAATAACGCAAACGAAAAAGAAAACAACAACTATAGGCTGACCGCAGGTAGCTAACCACTATGCTATCGAACCGACTCTTATAAATGAATTAATTCTAAGTAATATAATCTCTCTATTCTTCCTAGCTAACACTGGTATTTTCTACCGACTTCAAAAAGGAGGAGGTACTCAATTCGATTGTATGTTTTTGTTTATGTGTGTTACTTCATAACTTTTTTCTAGGTGAATCGATTTCGATGATTCTTTTTTTATTAGAAAGCTGGTGCTTCTCATGTGCTTCCATATAAATTTGATCAAGGCGTGACCAATAATTTTTGAGTTATCCTTAATAAGTTATATTGAAGTCGGTTGTACAAAATTTTTAATTTTACAACTTGTGTAGGCTGATGATGATGGAGAAGAAGAACACCAAAAACGTTAATAATCTATTTTTAATATTAATTAATTAGATAGAGGTTACATCTAGATTTAACAAAAATTATCAGTATCTTTTTCAAGTCCATTGCAAGACATAGGCCTTTCTAATCCGCTAGCGGATATGTGTTTTTGGAAAGGATTGCTCATAATTAAAAATTAAAAATGTTGTACAGCCGACTTCAATATAAGTTATTAAGAATAACTCAAAAACTATTGGTCTGACCTTGATCAAATTCATATGGGACCACACGAGAAGTACCAGCTTACAAATAAGAAAAGAATCATCGAAATCGGTTAAGCCAGTAAAAAGTTATGAGGTAACACACATAAAAAAGACAAAAAAAATCATGCAGTCGAATTGAGTACCGTCTTCTTTTTGGAAGTAGGCAGAAAATCACTATATCGCGTAGATGGTTTGTTGCGCTGGTAATGTCGGCTCCTCTTAGTTTAGTTAAAACATTATGAGTGTAATAATCGCCATACTTCTTGTCTTTCTTCCATTTTTAGGGTTCCGTACCTCAAAAGGAAAAAAACAGAACCCTTATAGGATCACTTTGTTGTCCGTCTGTCTGTCTATCTGTCTGTCAAGACCCTTTTTCTCAGGAACGCGTAAAGGTATCAAGCTGAAATTCATATCAAATACTCAAGTCTACTGTCCCTTAGAGATGTGAAAAAATCAAACTTCTAAGCCAACGCAATCAAAAGATACAGCCGTTTATGCCGTATATTTTCTACATTCGCAAGGGAATCAAAACCTACAGGGTACTTCCCGTGAACTCAGAATCTTGAAATTTGGTAGGAAGCAACATTTTATAGCACAGATAAAGGAAAAATTGCGAAAAGCATACATTTTTAGTAACATCATATAATAAAAATATTTTTAATAATTTTAAACTTATATACCTACAAATTTGTTCGGAACCCTCGGCGCGCGAGTCCGACTTGCGGTTTTTTTCTTTATCCAATCAGGATTTTTAACTTGATGACAAACTGAAAATTTCTTAACTTACACGTTACACGAATACTACACAATTAATAATTTTTGTGTACACACAATTAATAAGATTATGTCGCGTCCATTTTGACCTGTTTATGATTCCCGACGTTTCGGGTGCTTTACAGCATCCATAGTCACGGGAGGAATAAGGTGTCTAACGTCCTGATGCCATAGTTAACACGAGCTACCGTCAGATTTCGAATATTCATTTTCGATCTGAAGAGGAGGAGCGGAAAAGAAACTACCTTCTATTTAATAATATTCGGATGTTATAATAATAAATATAGACAGACCGAATTACGGTCACGTATGTCAGTCTCAACGGAGACTTGCCACTGCACAGGACAGGATTATAGCGCCTGAGTGTATGCGCAAGCACAGGTAGACTCCTTATTCTCTCATTCCCATAGTCCGGCTTGCTACTGAGAATTTCCTGACAGAAAACTCCAATAACTGAATTCGGCCTGACCGGGATTCGAACCCGGTATATGATGATCAGAAATTGCGTTTACAACCACAAGATGCTCTAAAGCTCTCAACTCTGCTAATAATAAAAATTGTATAGTAATAATAGAAAATTAGTATTATGGTGTAATAATATATCAAGTATACGACAATTTTTTTTATAGAATAAGACAAACGAGCACACAGTCCACCTGATGGTAAGTGGATGCTGTGTACATTGCTGTGGCTCACAGATATATACATTTATCTTCAATGAAGAATCATAATGCAGATGCGTTGTCACCCCTGAGGAATAAGATGGAATGCCTTGTTTCCAGTAAAAAGGGAATACTACACTACACTTACTATACAAAATATAGCAGCATTAAGCTGCTATTTTACGCTGGTATTCTGTGAGTGCGTGGTCCTTCCCCGGTCGAGCCGACCAATTCGTGCTACAACCATAATAGAGCTGCAGCGTGGCTTTGCTACGTCAAAATGTTGAGCGAATGGATAATTAATAAAAATGATTTTACCTAAAATGGATAGCCGTAGAATAGAAGACATTTTGTGATCCACAGAGGCCGAGTCACGCTACGCTAACCGCGGTAATGAACCGAATGACTTGATTAGGTGTATCAAAAGGATAACAGCATTAACAACTCGAATTGTGAACACTTAACTCTCGGACACGGCAATTTTATTTAGAGAAACATTTTTTTCCCCTTTAACTTGTGTCTGCGTTGAAAGAGTTGATTTGCCATAACGCCTTAAAAAGGAAGCAAAAAATATTTTTGAAGAACTTTGGAAGTCAATTATTTAATTATTGCTGTATATATATATACACACACACACACATATATATGTGTATATATATATACATGTGTGTGTGTGTGTGTGTGTGTGTGTGTTCATTCTAATTTAAATATTTAAAGCTACGGTTTCAAGCCAGCAATCTGTTGAAAGAGGGCAGGGAGGTGCGACGAAAAGAATTTGTGTTTTAGTGGGGGAAGAGTAAAAATTTAATGGCCTAAAGATGTTCCCTCCAAACTGTAGGTGTAAGGTTAAAACTTTAGTAGACCGCAATTTAGGAGAACGAATTTTTTATAGTGTATTGAAATGAAATCTCTTTGGTAATATATAGGGGAAGGGAGGGCAAGAAGGTTGAATAATAAAAATACATTCTATAATCAAATAACATGTACTGAAATTAAAACAAAACCAAACTCTGGTTAATAATGTTTAAAAATAAAAATAAAAAAATATAAAAATCAATGAAGATGCATTGTCATTTAATTTTTTTTTAAAAGTCTCTGAACTATCCGTTTTGCCCTACTAGGGTAGGTAAAACGGATATACTTCGAGGGCAAAACGGATATATCCCTTAGCATTCGGAAACTAATCACTACAAAAATCACAAAAATAGGAACCATGTCCCGAGTATGACGAACAACTCTCATGCGTCCATTCGCGACATTGAGAGCATTCAATCCAGTCTTCTATGGGGGGACTGGTATACAAGTCCTTGCACACAGTACAATAATATTTTTTCTCTTCATTTTCTTTACCTCGTCTTGTCTTTTCTGCACTCTTTGTCTTTAATTTCGAAAAGTCTTTTTTCTTGCCGGTTGTTGACTTCTTTAATCCAGACACAGAAGCTCCAAGGTTTATTTTAAAACTTGTTTTTTTAAATTTATCTTCTTGTATGGTTTTTACAGGTGTGCTGGTTAATATTTCAGATTTTTGTAATTTTCTACCCCTACTTTGTTTTTTAAACTGTTGCTGGGGCAATGGATGAATTTCTTTGAGTATTTCCGCGCTGGATGAAGTAAAATAATCAATGGTTTTTGGTACTGTGGGAATGTGTGGAGCTGTCAACGTAGATTGGGTCTTTTCTGGAGTCTTCAAAACAGGTGTTGTCTGTTCTGGAGGAATGATCTCGTGTGTGTGTACGTGTGCCAAAATAGGTGGTGTCGTCAAAACTGGTGAAGTAATTTCATCTGGTGGTACAGTGAACAGAATGTGTGGTGTTTTTGAAGCATGTGGTATGGCGATCGTATCTGTTGTCATAGGTGAAACAGTTGTTTCTAATTGAGAAGGCGTGGGAGTCCTGTGGTCTTCGCCTGCAGAGTGTGAAATTGATGCCTCGTAGACAGTAGAAGGTGCGAATAGTGCTTCATCTATCACATTTCTATCGTACGGATAAATTCCGGCTGCTCTAAATCCGCTCATGGCGTTTTTTGGTGTTGCTACTTTTAAGTAAGCAGGTGTAACGAGACGTACAATATCATACTGCGAAATAACTCGCCCTGGATACTGCTTTTGGAACTTATTTATCTCAATTTCAAAAGCCACCTTAAATGGTGCATAGACAGCAACATCAAGTGGCTGTAACTTATGAGATGTGTGTGGAGGAATAGACAAAAATATAACGTTATGATCTCTTGCATATTCTAAAGCAGGATAAAATTTATAAGACTCATGATTGTCTAGAATTAATAAAGCCTTACATTCACTCGTAGGACGCACGTAACTCACAAAAGCTATTAGCCACTCTAAGAAAATTGCTCCGCTTACCCATCCACTATGTGATATGGTGCCTTCACTACCAGGACATGCCCCATCTAGTAGACGTGGCTGAAACCTTTTTCTTTTAAAAATAAAAAATGGGGGAGGTGCGTAACAGCCTGTTGCGCCACAGCAGCAGATTACTGTTGTTAAAGTACCCCTCTCTAAGCTGCTCACCATGCCGACCTGCTTCTTACCAAGTACTGAAAGTACTTTTGGTGGTTTTGTAGACGAGGTCCTCACACCTGTCTCATCCATGTTGTATATCATATTAGGAGTGATATGATACTCTTGGACAATGGTCTCCAACAAATCATAAAATCGGGTCACAGCTGGTTTGTTAAAAGCTGATAATCTGGCTACCGATGTCGTCTCTGGGCTTCTTAAAACAATATCGGTATGACGTTTTAAAAAAATTTTAAAGCACTGTTTACCGGCAATATTGTTTTTAAATGGCGTTTGTATATTCTGTCGCTTAGCATACTCACCAGCTAATTCCTTAAACTCATTTCTCGACAGACCGTAAAACAGTGCATCTAGATCCCTTAAATGTTTTTCTAAAATGTTCTCTTGCTCTTCATTAAATACAGGCTTAAAACTGCCAAGACTCTTTATACTACTATTAGATTTTACATGACGTTGCAGCGTAGTATACGGTATTCCATATTTTTGAGATGCACTTTTTATTGAGGATTTTTTTGCTTCTACAATTGCTGTTTTCATTGTTTCCTCCGACCAAGAGGCCCTAGAGGTCTTCCGTATGTAGTTGTTAACCATCTGCAAGTAGCAATAACACAAATTACATTTAATATTGAATAAAAATAAACTCAACTTATTCGTATTTAAAGTAGGGCAAAACGGATCGAGATCTGTTTTGCCCGTTCCGTTTTGCCCTCTACTCTCTTATAGTAATAACCTAAACTTTCTTTCGCTCGCAGTTACTACTTTTTATCAAAATTATCATTATAATAACGTTAGATAAATACCTTACAACATCGACAAATTAATTTATAGTAAAAGCTTAAGAGAATGTAATAAAATGATGTCACAACTTCCCTTATTTTTTTAATTTCGCGTAACAAAAACAATAACACGTCACTACTTCCACAAACATACCACGCGGAGCATCGCGAGTGATCGCGAGTGAGTGAATCAGCGCGCAATAAGCTAGACTGCACCATGACGCACTATTTCTTTCTCTGTCTAACATTACTATTCGTATAGAGAAAATATCCGTTTTGCCTGCCATAACCTTCTTGCCCTCCCTTCCCCTATTTAAAAAAAACTACTACAATTTTGAAACGAGATTCCTCTTAACTGAGAAGATACGGCGAAACAAACGTCCCTGGTATTCTAATATATGTATGGTATACTAATAGAACAGAATACAATACAACAGAATCATTTTTATTCAATATAGAAAGAATACAAGAAAACATATTGAAAGTCATATAATCTTTTCCACTGGTTTAAAAAAACCTCTGTCTGTTATTTTATACAATTAGTATGAAACCATTTAGAAACAGCATGGTAGCCATCACCTCTTTCCCAGGGCTTACTCCTTAGTAGTATAATAACCCTTACTAAACAATTTTTGTTTAATAATAATTTTAAACATTTTGATAGACATACGAGTATGACATGACTTTTTTCGTGTGATTGCCTATTAATCAAATGAACATTAATAATTCAAGTTTGTCATAACGCTATAACTAAAATATCCAAAGAAAAATGTTTAAAATTTTGTCTTATATTTCGTTGTCATATCTTAAACAACTATGGATTAATATCTCTTTGAGTGTCACTGTAATAAAACAATTTGGTAGTAATAGATTTTGCATTTTATATTTGGCAAAAAAAAATATATTAATACCTCCATTAAATTTTCCACAATCCTCGTCATTGCGTAGGAGTTACGATGACTGCAAGTCGTAAACAGAATAAACTGTCGTATCCTGTTCTGTTGTCCTTAGCGATTAGCCGTTTAGTATGGCGATGACTAGTCAATGGTACCTCAATGAATCAATAGAACATTCATGTTACGCGACCAGTTTGGATAAGTTATGTTGACGCAATGGCGACTATATGGTCTAGAGGTGGTTTAAACATTTTAAAAATTCTCAGTTTTAAAATATTCAGGCTAGTCAAGCGGGGCGGAGTCAAAGGTGCAAACTGTAGGGCACCGAAATCATTAATATGCATGCCAAGCGCGTCGGCACAGTCAATTCTTCAAATTTGAGAGAGGTCTAAGCTCGGATATCAATTGGTTGATGATGGTGATAATTCGCTGGCCCACCGTGCAGTGAGTGCAAAGTCGACACCGTCGCACTGGCAATGCCACTGCCTATAACCAGTTAGTTAGTTCAACATATTTGGTAGGCAAGATTAACGGCGGTAAAAAGTTTTTTGAGAGTAATAAATATTTATGAGTTTTGAATGAAAAGAATGAAAAAGATTTAATATTCGTCTTATAGTGGCGGTTTAAGAGAAACTACTGCCCCATTAAATCATCCCGTAGGTGCCGAGGCGACAGATGAAATGGACCAAGAGATGTCAGCAGCATCTTCGTGATGTTAACTCAAAGTAATTAAAAACTGCGGTTGCCAGCTCACCTGGCAAGCGTGGAAACTGTGGCAAACACTCCGCCCTATGAGGCAATTTAATGGGGAGACTTATCTTCAGTGGTGGACTTTGTTAAGCTGTAATATGCATGAATGAATGAAATACTCTTAACGTAGAAGTAGTGCGAGAAAATATAGGCTTTCCCGTGAGTGGTGTGAAATACTCTTAACGTAGAAGTATTGCGAGAAAGTGCCGTGAAATCGATTACTTAAAAATCGAATTATTGTAGAATCTTACGAAGAAGAACGATATCGATATTAAATATTTAGATTGCCTCTAAGCACAGTGTTTAGCCCGCTCCGTCCATCGACTATCAGCATGTTTCATCAGGTTATCAATTCATTTATTGCGCGGCATAAAAGTTAAATTAATATTGC